GTTGCTTTGTTTAATTTGTGATTGTATTTTTCCAATTACCGAACAAGTTGTTGCACATTTCACGCAGATATGAAAATTTATCCGAAAATTGGTAAAATGCAAGAAAGAAAATTAAGCAGACTATCAGGTATATTTGAATAAAACACTAATATCAGGTATATTTGAATAAAACACTAATATATATATATATATATATATATATATATATATATATATATATTATAAATCAAATAACTAGATATTAGTAACCGTATATACGTGTGTTAGCGTGCATACACAGGTAAGCGAATAAATATTTATTCAATTTAAGATGTAAACAAAACAATGCTCAATGTGGCTAGACAGAGCTAAAAAGTATATATTAATAAATATATATTTACCTACGTTCAAAGTGCAACCTTAAAGTTTCGTGCTTCTAACAACTCATCAGGTACGAATTATTACTTATGATTTAAAGGAAAAAAACTGGAACGTAGGTATAATTATTTATTCGAAAATTATAATATAAACTTGTTATAAAAATCACTACAAAAAACTACATTTTGTTTCAACACTTCTGGTGTCTTATCAAGTGAAGGTGTTGAATGTAGAATAAAGAGTTTTAAAAGGTTCCAGTCAACCAAATACCACTCGATATGTAACAACGTTTTATATATATATATATATATATATATATATATATATATATATATATATATATATATATATATAATGACCAGCTACTCGTTTCTGATGACTTCCGTATCCTTGGGGGAGGGGAGTTAGCCAAGGACCTTTCTGTTTGTTCAAGACCCACAGAGCAGTCCCACGGTTTATATCGCAAGTATATCGAGCAGAATTTAGTTATAGTTTCTGGTCGTGATCAACATCCAGTATGCTCCAGGCCTCGGTCACGATGACTTGTTACTTCGTGCTTGCACAACCATCGACGGCCTCTAAAGAGTTCTGTCTATTCAATTTAGCTTACAAGGCTTTTGGTCAACTGGTTTGTATGGCTTTTAGGCACTTTTTCACCGATGCTGCCCGTTGGGATCACTTCGAAGCCGGTTCTTATTTTCAGAAAGCAAACCACTCGGCAGTGCACTCTTCACGGGGCCGATGCAAGGAACTCGTGCCCCCTCCAATCTAGGATACGCCCCTTTTCACTCTACCTGTGATTTATAATTCGTCTATACTGAGCGGAATTTAGTTACAGTTTCTGGGAAAGAGCCCATCCCCGGTCGCGATCAACAGTTTGTATAAGGCCATTATGCTCCAGGCCTCGGTCACAATGACTTGTTATCACCGACAGCTTCCAAAGAGTTCTGTCTATTCAATTTAGCTTACAAGGCTTTTGGTCAACTGGTTTGTATGGCTTTTAGGCACTTTTTCACCGATGCTGCCCGTTGGGATCACTTCGAAGCCGGTTCTTATTTTCAGAAAGCAAACCACTCGGCAGTGCACTCTTCACGGGGCCGATGCAAGGAACTCGTGCCCCTCCAATCTAGGATACGCCCTTTTTACACTACCTGTGATTTATAATTCGTCTGTACTGAGCGGAATTTAGTTACAGTTTCTGGGAAAGCGCCCATTCCCTGTCGTGATCAACAGATTGTGCAAGGCCAATATGCTCGAGGTGTGTGTATATATATATATATATATATATATATATATATATATATATATATATATATATATGTTAAAAAGAATAGAGTACCGCAATTGTTTTAGGTTGTAACGTGGATTTTAAAAAAAATATATATCATGTTTCATTTTCCATAATTTTACAACACGTGTTTCGGATTTCGCGACCTTCTTCAGGAAAGGAGTGGATATTTCCACATATTATTAAAATGAATTAATTTTCCTTGTTTTTCGATGTTAAAGTTTTCTCTTTTTGTGTGTAGTAGTGACACATATGTCTTCCTTGAACTGGTAGTGAGAAAGTTCTTCTTCATGAAGGGTAATAAAACAATTAAGATTGGTCCGAGAAAGCGTAAGGAAAGATATCTGTATTCTTATCTTTTAATGGCGCCTATGTGTTCTTAGATCTATTTCCATTTTTGTATTGTGTGGGTTTTTGTTAGCATGCGTATGTATATGTATATTCCCTCTTCATAGATACACACTGTCTTATAAGAAATTAATAGATAAATAGATACACACACACACTTCTTATGTTGTGTAGTGTTCTTGTGTGTGCTTGGGAGTAGTCTATTTTTTTGTCAATATGTATATATATATATATATATATATATATATATATTCGTTCTCCACAGATACCCGCGTGTGAAAGTGTGCGCATGCGAGTGGATCGACCACTATATTTGGCCATTATGTGTGCATGTTGTGTGTTTTTGTGTGTGTGTGTGGGCGGGGGTTATAATCTATTTAATGCTGGTTTAAATTTGTTTATGAAGTTTTTTTTGATTTGAAATTCACCCTGGTTAAATTTATAGATGTGTTGTGATACAAAAAGTTTTCTGTTGTCTGGTAATTTTATGTTGCTTTTGTGTAGGGTGACCCTGTTGTTTAGTTGTTGACTGATACCTATATATGGCTTTTTGCATTTTGTGCATAAATCACATTTTTGGAGTTGCAGTTTAAATTTTTATTTATTATGAATGTCGTTTTGGGGTTTTCAAAAGTGTAGAAGTTTCCTTCTATAATGATGTCACAAACTCCACATCTTTTTTGTTGCATTTTGTGACTCCCTGTATTGTATATTGGTTAAATTTGGATGAGGTTAATATGTGTTTTAGGTTTTTAGATTGGGGTTTGCTTTTAATTATTTTGGTTATTTTTAGTATATTTTTCAGTTTGTTATTCTTGCTAAGTAGGTTTAGATTGTTTTTTTTTTTGTAATTTCTGTAATTTTTGTAATTTCTTGTATGTTGAGACATATGCTAGAGTTTCTTCGACGTTACGTTTCTTTGAATTTCGTAGTTGGTCTAAAAGATTTTTTGCGCGTTCAAAACCATTGTTTATTAGTGTTGTGGAGGGGGCGCCTCGTTTGTTTGTTTTTTTTTTTTAGTTCTATGTAGTTCTTCTAGGCGGGTTTTTGGAGGTGTTTGTCAATCACTATAGTTTGTATTGTATATCTCACAATTATTATATTTAATAAAATTTTATTTTTCAGTAACTTCAATATATATGTTTCTAAAAAATGTTATATTAATTCAAAGAAAAATGTTTTTTGTAGATATTGCAATATGTTTACTTTAAAAAATAGTTAATTACATAAAAAACAATTATATATCTATTATGTGACTATAAATAAGAAAGTAAGAAAATACGTAATTAAACTCTAATAATTTAATTTAAACAATACCGTATTTAGTAGTAAGAAATATAATACAGTATACGGTAAACTCGGCCTTGTGCCACATACAACCCTCGTGGAGAGGGGTCTGTTAAATATAACAGTCGAGTTAGATCTTTATAAATAAACAATATAATAAATATGAAAATCATATTTTTAAGCCCTTTTATTAAAATCCTAATCTATTTTATAAAATAAAATAAATAATAAATAAATAAAAATGTCAATGTATTGTAGTGTAACTTATATATGCCCCCTAAATAAAATAATAAAAAAAATACAGTGATGACATGTTCTCATATAAGGAGGCTAGTATCGATAGGCAAAAATTACAAACACACACCTAATCTTTAACTTATATTTACTTTGCCATCTTAAATTATACTTGTATCCTGATTCGTCAAAAAAGCCAACACCCTTTTAAAATGTTGTAATACCATTCCCCCACAAACTTAAACTATATAATACTATTTAGCTTAAAAAAAAGTAAATCATTTTTTCGAAAGTTATTCAACATCGCTTGGGAATGGAACAAAACTTTAAGTTTAATTTAATGTTTAAGTTTCGAAACATGGTAATTTTTGTGTTGTGATGAATACTGTTGTGGTGTCCTTCCTCAAAAGAGTCTATGTTGGACTCTTCCGCCTACTATAAGATTAATAGGAGGGAAGTCATTGGAGGAACAGTCGAATAGATTGTTCATAACTGTCGAGCTATCAGCCTTGAGCAGAGAGGTACCCGGACGAGGCTTTGCCGAAGGGCAAAGTTCCGTCCGGGGAGGTAGACAAACCCTGAACCCGTTTGTACGGGTTTTAAGGGAATATTTTTAGCCGAGCGTACGGGTTCGGAAAACTCACGGTTAACTCGGCCTTGTGCCACATACAACCCTCGTGGGGGTCTGTTAAATATAACAGTCGAATAGATCTGTTCCAGCTGTGCTGGTCAAACTCTCTGCCTCCGGGCAGAGAGAATCCCCAGACGAAGTTATGTCGAAGGGCAGAGTCTCGTCTCGGGAAACAGCTACCCAACCCCGTTTTATATAGGGTCTACGGGGAATTTTTGGCCGAGCCTACGGGCTCGGATTGCCCCACATTAAACTCGGCCTTGTGCCACATTCTACCTCGTAGGTAAATATCAACAGTTGAATAGATTGAACACTGGTCAACCGACACACACTCACTAGTCGTGTAATACTCTTCTGTTGTATTTACTAATACAGGATATATCTGCAACAGTTGTTTTGTTATTTCTTTAACCATTTACTTGGTCACAACATCTTGGCGACGAAGGAACGGACTTCACGTTAAATCATAAAAAAATTGCCAGTGGTAAAGAAAGTAATTCTAATCAAACTCTACGACACGAGGGTATCCAGTGTTAATTACGACACTTGACAGTGGAAAGAAGAAACTCCTCAACACAATTGGATTTCTACAATTCAGTGGTTGGGAAGAGAAATTCAAACGAGAACAAGCAGAATCCATTCTAAGAAGAGTTGAAGAACTGTACAAGTCAAAAGACTTATTGTTTTCGACAACAGAAAGGGGAATAAAAAATGCTCCTTCAAGCACAGAACGAGTAAAGGGACTTGTATAATATATCCATTAAAAGCCAAAATGAGAACAGGTTTATTTAAGAGGGTAAAGAGAAAAAAATGCCCCTTCTCATTTCTTAATTTTGAGGAGTAAAATGGACGAATTTAAAAGTGAAATGCTAGAGTTGTTGAAACACCAACAGGAACAACAACAACGGTTGGAACAGAAATATCAAGAAAGACAGAAACACCAACAGGAACAACAACAACGGTTGGAACAGAAATATCAAGAAAGACAGAAACACCAACAGGAACAACAACAACGTTTGGAAGAGAAATATCAAGAAAGACAGAAACACCAACAGGAACAACAACAACGGTTGGAAGAGAAATATCAAGAAAGACAGAAACACCAACAGGAACAACAACAATTGTTGGAACAGAAATATCAAGAAAGACAGAAACACCAACAGGAACAACAACAATTGTTGGAACAGAAATATCAAGAAAGACAGAAACACCAACAGGAACAACAACAACTGTTGGAACAGAAATATCAAGAAAGACAGAAACACCAACAGGAACAACAACAACGGTTGGAACAGAAATATCAAGAAAGACAGAAACACCAACAGGAACAACAACAACGGTTGGAACAGAAATATCAAGAAAGACAGAAACACCAACAGGAACAACAACAACGGTTGGAACAGAAATATCAAGAAAGACAGAAAACACCAACAGGAACAACAACAATTGTTGGAACAGAAATATCAAGAAAGACAGAAACACCAACAGGAACAATTGTTGGAACAAAGAAAGACAAAACAAACAGGAACAACAACAACGTTGGAACAGAAATATCAAAAAGACAGAAACACCAACAGGAACAACAACAACTGTTGGAACAGAAATATCAAGAAAGACAGAAACACCAACAGGAACAACAACAACGGTTGGAACAGAAATAGGAACAAACAAACAACAACAACAACAGTTGGAACAGAAATATCAAGAAAGACAGAAACACCAACAGGAACAACAACAATTGAACAACAACAAAACGGTTTGAACAGAAATATCAGGAAAGACAGAAACACCAACAGGAACAACAACAACTGTTGGAACAGAAATATCAAGAAAGACAGAAACACCAACAGGAACAACAACAACAACGGTTGGAACAGAAATAACAAGAAAGACAGAAACACCAACAGGAACAACAACAACGGTTTGAACAGAAATATCAAGAAAGACAGAAACACCAACAGGAACAACAACTACTGTTGGAACAGAAATATCAAGAAAGACAGAAACACCAACAGGAACAACAACAACAACGGTTGGAACAGAACTATCAAGAAAGACAGAAACACCAACAGGAACAACAACAACGGTTTGAACAGAAATATCAAGAAAGACAGAAACACCAACAGGAACAACAACAACTGTTGGAACAGAAATATCAAGAAAGACAGAAACACCAACAGGAACAACAACTACTGTTGGAACAGAAATATCAAGAAAGAAAAACACCAACAGGAACAACAAACACCAACAGAAATATCAGGAAAGACAACAACAACAACAACAATTGTTGGAACAGAAATATCAAGAAAGACAGAAACACCAACAGGAACAACAACAATGGTTGGAACAGAAATAACAAGAAAGACAGAAACACCAACAGGAACAACATTTGCTGTTGGAACAGAAATATCAAAAATACAAGAGAAATTCCAACGAGAACAAAACAGAATAACAGAAGAAATTTGAGGAATTGCACCTAAAAATTCAGGTTAAACAACAGAAACTGGAATAAGTGCTCCTCCAAACACAGAATGAGCAAAGGCATTTGTATAAGATATCCATCAAAATGAGAACAGCGAAAACGCGTTCTCTCAAAACGGTATGTGGAGTGTTATTGAAAACTTCACGGTTGCACCTGAAGAAGAAATTGCATTCGCTTCGTACTTTAAACGTTACGAGGACTTATACAATGCGGATTGCGCAAGTTGGGCTGACCATAAAAACGTTCGCCTACTCCTCAGGAAATTAGGTACAGCAGAATATACTAAGTTTGTTAACTATATTTTGCCTAAGAAAACCAGAGTCTTGAAATTTAAAGAGACGGTTCAATCATTAACAGAACTCTTCAGTCCAAAAACATAACTGTCCCACAAGCGTTGGAAATGCATGAATCTCACCCGGAAAGAAGACGAAGATTATACTACTTTCGCGAGTGTAGTCAATAAACACTGCGATGATTTCAAATTGGCAGAGTTAAGTGCCAATAATTTTAAATGCCTGATTTTCGTCCAGGGTTTGATTTCAGAAAGACGCTGAAATACGTCGTTTGGTACTCAACAAGCTTGAAAAACAAGCCCGACGTTACTTTACAACAAATTGCCGAAGATTGCTAACGTTTCGTGAGCGTCAGAGAGAATCGAAAAACATCGAACAGTGTGGCGTTGGTCGCATTAAAAAACAATACACCAAAGAAAAATTACAAAGGGTCAACCAAAAATAATAAAGTTACTTTGCCGTCAACAACCATGTTTCGAGTGTGGTCAATTATATTGGTATAGAGATTGTCATTTTAAAGATAAAAAAAATGTTCTAATTGCTATAAATTTGGACACAAAAGTTCCCACAACAGGATTAAGAATAAAACAAAAAAAGGTGTTGTAAAATTACCAAGTCTGATGAACCAGAAAGTCGTGACATCAGGAAATATATTGAAGTGCAAATATTTAACAAAAAATATAAGGCTACAGTTTGATTCAGGTTCAGACTTATCCATAATTAATTATCAAACATGGAAAAAAATATAGATAAGCCAACTTTGTTAAGAACGAACCGAATAGCTAAAAGTGTAACTGGCGACCCTATTAAGTTTATGGGCGAACTTATAACGAACGTGTTATTCAAAGGTAAAACTTTAAAACTAAAAAACGTGTATTATGAAGAATACGGAGAATTTGTTCGGGACTGATTGGTTAGAACAGTTTCATCTTTGGGATATGCCTATTAACTCATTATGTCAAAAGTCGAAAATGTGACTGACGAAGCAGAAAAGGCATTGAAAAGTGAATTTAAAAAAAAAAACGCGTTCCCGACGTTTTCAGTGGTGGACTAGGAAAATGCACAAAATGTCTGCTAAGTTTGAGTTAAAATGCCAGGCGCAAACCCAGTTTTAAGAAAAAAAGTAACGTTCCATTTGCCTCGATAAATCAAATTAACGAAGAATTGAATCGACTTTGAAGAAATGGGAGTTCTGTCAAAGGTTGAATATAATCTCACCCGAAAGAAGACGCATCTCCTACAGTTTATATTAAAAAAAAGAGATTTCAAAGAAATTCGTGTATGTGCTGATTTCTCTACGGGGCTGAACAACGCCCTAAAGGATCACCATTATTCCCTTCCAAATTGTTGCCAAGTTTCGAGGAGATATTCGTGGCTGACATTAAAAATACTTAGTGGAAAAAAAAATATTTTTGCCGTAAAATCGACTTACGTCGAATTATATCTATAGAAATACCCTTGAACGAGGAATGCTCGAAGCTCCTTTTGCATAAACACCCACAAGGGTTTATACAAATTTTAAGACTTCCGTTCTGATGTTGAGGTCGTGACATCCATTTTTCAACAAATCTTGGGCAAAATGTTAAATGGTCTGGATTTTCCATGGTCGCCTATCTCAATAACGTCCTAATGAAAAGCGAGAGCATCGAGGAATACAAATCGTACGTCTGGCAGGTGTTTATGAGAATCTAGGATTGCGGATTCAAATTAAAAGACGGGAAGTGTGAGTTTTTGTTAGACTGATGGATTAAGTTTCACTTTGGGATAAATAATTGACAAAAAACAGAAGACGTCCCCACCCAGATAGGGCAACGGCAATTTAAAAAATATGCCAGCACCAAAAATGTGTCGGCTTTTCAAAGATTTTTTTTAGGTCTTGCCAATTATTTAAATTGACAACGTTTTGTCTCAAGAATGCACAGTTTGAGAGGTCCAATATAATGAATTATTTTAGAAAAAAATAGAAAAGAAATTCGTATAATCAAATGCCAGGAAGCATTTGAGAAAATAAAGGAGATCCTTACATCAGATCTGTTCCTGACTCAGGAAAATTTTTTCGATCCAAACCTTGACATCATTGTAGCCAGCGATGCTAGCTCCTTTGCATAATCACCCTAAGGGGCGTGCATTTTTTAAGACACCCATTAAAGGATGGATCGGTAAACCCATTTCATTTAGGACGCTATTACCAGCTGAAAGGGGTTATCTCAAAATCCTAGAAAAGGAAGCCTCGAGTAATCATTTTGCAGTGACTAAATTCCATAGATTTATTCATGGAAGGTACTTTTTGTTGCAGACAGACTATCGTCCACTCCTTATTTGTCTTTTGGTCAAAAAAGGGTTTGCCAGCACCTACTGCTAATAGACTGCAAATCTATGGGGAACCATTCTCCTCAATTAAACTATCAAAATGGTGTTTCTCCCATCCACTAACATCTATCATGCAGACGGGTTGTCTAGATTGATACCTAAGTATGCTGAACCCCTGGAAGACACTGTCATTGCTGCCATTAGAACAGAGGTCGAAGTAAAAAAATACCTTGTGCAATACTGTCAGGGAGTTTCCTATAACAATAGACGAGATAATAGACAAAGCGTCCGATGATGAGTTCATAAAGGAAGTAAAGGACAAACTAAATAGTAAAGACCAGAATATCTCAGAAGTTTACTCATTCTGTAACGACATATTAATGTACGGAGATAGTGTAGATGGGATTACTACTCTAATCCCTTCTACACTATAGAAAAGAACATTAAATGAATTCCATGTTCGCCATCTGGGAACTTCAAGAATGAAGAGTCTGATGAGGAGTTACCTCTATTGGACCAACATGGATAAGGATATTGAAAACATTGTAAGATCGTGCAAAGGGTGTGCTTTGGCTGCTAAAGCACTCCCGATAAAATTCAATCCCTGGTCTAAAACCGACCGTCCGTGGTCGCGGATTCACATTGATTTTGCTGGCCTACTTTATGGTTTTTACTACTTTGTAGTAATTCACAGTTATTTCAAGTGGCCAGAAATATTGAAATGTAAGATGGCGACCTCGGAGGTGACTATAAAGTTTTTGCATGAACTATTTTCCCGTTTCGGAGTTGTTGACTGTATTTTAACAGACAATGACACAGTTCACATCCTGTGAATTTAAGGATTTTTGTCAGTCATTCCTGATCGAACATATTACCATGGCACCATATCACCCAAGAAGTAATGGACAGGCAGAGTGTTTTGTGGACACTTTCAAGAGAGCACTGAGGAAGGCGTGAGGTACTTCCACCGATACGGCTATATAGCAATTTTTGCAGGTCTATCGTGTAGCCCCTAATAACAGTGCTCCATCCGTCAGCGGGGGTCATGTTTGCCAGTAAAATAAAATCGGCATTTGACAAATTCATTCATTCTTTAAGATCGGTGAAAAAGTTTTATTTTCGTGTATTTGGGAATAAAAAATCTCACTGGGATATAGGAACAATAACAGACAAATTGGTAACATGATTTTATGGTTCATGGACCGAAGTTTATAATAAACGTCAAAACCGAATTAGGGTATTAAAGCGTAGTCGATAATCCCATAGAAGATGACACTATGGACGTCGTTTTGGACACGTTTGAGTTGGCACCTCGAGGCGGTGTAATGGTTACAAACGTCTCGCTAGAACATTTACCACTGAATTAGAAAACGATTCTCACTGGGTGCCCCTACTTTCGGATCCCATCTAAGAAGATGAAAATCATGGACGTTTGTCTTGGAATACCGTTCAGTGTCAGAGCTCAAAATAAAAAGAAAAAAGAAATTTACGAAACCTTTAGAAATTAACCCGAAAAGAAAAAAGATCTTGAACATCTATCATTTCATATCATGTCCACAGAAAAAGGAAAAGAATGAGTAAAAAAAAAAAAATCTCCTCACTTATGAACTTTGAATTACCAGAAAAGCACAATACGCATTGGATTATTGGAAATTATTAACATTATAATTTAGCATTAAACTTATCTAATTTTTCATAATTTAGGAATAATGAATAGAGACCTTAATAAAAAGGGACTGTTGTTAACACGTAAAATGTTTGTCGTAAAACTAAAAAAACAAATTGTGAACATAATTCCTGTACAGTGTCACCCGGATGTAAGAGTGTTGTCGGGACCGGAGAAGAAGTCTCTTATATCCGGGTTTCTCTTATATCCGAGTTTGGTCTATTTTATATACATTAACACAGGCTCTAATTTGGGACCAGAGGAAATCTCTCTTATATCCGGGTTTCTCTTATATCCGGGTCTCTTATATCCGGGTTACACTGTATATAGTTTTTTTTTCAAAATGGTTGTTTGTTTTTTTTTTCTTTTGTGAAAAAGGGTTTATTTGGTTGAATAAAAAGTATTGTGTGGCAATTATAAAAAAAAAGACTCCAAACGGAGTCAGGCTGAAATGGGGGTGTTGTCGTGTTTAATCTTATTTATTATAAAACGCAGATTGTGTGTGTGTGTGTGTGTGATTGTGTGTGTACATTTATATATTGGATCGGATTTCTTACATTTTTCAACCGATTTCAACAAAACTTCACAGGACTACGTAAAATTACCTTGCGGTGGTTCTAACAGCGCCAAAATTGGAAAAA